CCACCAGAACTTGGTTTTTAATATCCCCACCCTTCATAAACCCTGATTGCTATTTAGAGATAATTTTGGGTAGAATAACCCCCATTCTGGATGCCAAAATTCGTGTATTGATTTTACTAATGAAGGTTGATACACAAATAGGGCGAAAATCTCCAAAAGATGTAGGGCTTTTTTTCTTGGGTATCAAGATCATACTAACACTTCCCACTCCTTTAGGAACACTCACTCCCAGAAAAAATTCTTGTACCGCCATAATTACATCCCTCTTGATTATATCCCAGCATCCTCTATAAAAACTTCCACCATACCCATCAAGCCCCGGAGCTGCATCCTGACTGAGCCCCCACACTGCCTCTTTAATTTCATCTTCTTCCGGCAGTTTTAATAAACTGGTATTATCATTCCCGTCTATAATCTCAGGAATATAATGAAGCATCTTTGCAAACTCCTTAACCTATCCCTTAGCATATAAGTTTTCAAAATAATCAACTGCCTCTGCACCAATCTCTTTAGAATCATAGCACCAATCCCCGTTAGCTTTTTTTATTGCATGAATGTGCTGCCTTCTAATCTTATCACGCACCGTCTCATGGAAAAATTTCATACTAGCATCTCCTTGCTTTATCCACTTGACATTTGCTTTTTGTATCCAAAAGGTGTCTTGTTGCTTGATCCTCAAAAGAAGCTCAGTCTGCTTTTTATGACAAACTGCCCTATTAGAATCCGTAGGATTCTCTTCATATTCTTTTTCCGCTGCCAAAGCCTCAACCTCCAGTTTTTGGGTGGAACTAAAAATATCCCCAAACACCTCTCGTTTCGAGATCTTCAAATCAGCCTTAAAGGACTTTAGCTTATCACACAGCCCTCGCATTCCACCCACCGTTGGATATTCCTTCCACCTTTTTGCCACATAAGGTAAGAACTCCTCGTTAGAAAACCACATATTTTGAAAGCGGAATTGTTTAGGTCCCTTGCCCGTATTAAGCTCACACATTAATAGGATTGGGCAGTGGTCTGAAGGAGTTTTACTTAAATGTTGAATGTGGATGGCATCAAATTTAGATACAAAACAATGATTTGCAAGATAACGATCAAGTCTCTCCCAAATTCTGCCATTCGATCACATGTCTGACCAAGTATATGTTGACCCAATAGATGGTAATTAATTAAGCATACACTCATTAATACAATCCTGAAAATCCAAAATATCATTCAAGGGGGGACCGGACTGACTTTTGTACTCAGAAATCGAAGAGACCACGTTAAAATCTCCACCTAACAACCATGCAAAATCTCCCATATTTGCCACTTCCAAAAGTCCTGCCCAAAGCCGGGCCCTATCTTGCCTGGTATGGAGTCCATAAACTGGGGAGAAAACAAATGAATAATCTAAAGGGGTGTACACCACCCTAGCCACCAAAAACTGATCTTTCTCAACAATGGATACAACATCAAACTCACAAGTATTCCACATGAGCCAAATTTTATTTGTAGCTGCCATATACAAATTTGAAAAACCAAGCTTGTTCATATATAAGTGACCTTTATTTTGATCTACAAGAGGTTCAATAATAGTAACCATATTTACTGAATAGTGCCTAATAATATCGTGTAACCTTGGGCATGAAGAAGCGAGGCCACGAAGATTCCAAGTGAGCATCTTCATAGGGAAACCTTAGAGGGGGCTTCCGTGTTGCTCCTCCTAGCCGCTAACCTCATAGTGACCGAAACAGGAGGGTAATTCTCCTTGATCTTTCTTCTTCCAACCATCCCACCCAAATCTTGTTTTTGGACTGCCTGACTCACCGTGTCTTGTAGCTCCCTACAAACCTCCATACACATATCCTTTGTCATATCCTCCATTAATATATGATCTCTCTCTGACACATAACCTGCCTGCGTTATGGTCACATTATCCTCCCCCTTCCTAATGCTACCTTCCTCAAAATTGATTTGGTTTGTTACATCCGTAGCATGTGATACCATGTCCAGCTCTGAACCCTTGGTAGAAAAATCTTCCCCCACCTCCTTTTGAGATTGAACTATATCATTTTCCACCACTGGTGGAGATTCCTGCTGTGTATCCCTTTCCATTTCTGAAACTGGTATTTGATTTGGTTGTCCCATCGTATCCACCTCTACAATCTCAGTATCTAGAATCCCAACTGAGGTCATAAGAACAACCTCTGGATCATCTCTCCCCTCAGTATCTTGACGACTAGCCTCCTCCCCCCTACACGAGAATTCAGGTTTATCCACTAATATATCCATCTTCTCCTTTCCATTCTTCTTGCGTGTGATTTGAACCCACTGATCCGTCACTTTTTGGTCCTTCACCTTTTGAATAGCCTTCCCAACATCCTTTTTGGCACCAATCACTCCCATGTTCTGTGTCTTGCTTGTAGGCTCCATCCGTTTAGGTACCCCACAATCCCCTTTTTTATGTCCCAATTTATTGCATTTTATACAATAAACCGGGAGATCTTCATACAACACATTTTGAATAATCTCTTTCGATCCATTCATAATCAGTACCTTAGAGGGGATTTCCTGCAATAAATCTAACTCCACACAAACCTTTTCCGTTGAAGGACGAGTTAGGTTTGTTGTAGCTGCATCAACTTCTAAGGGTTTTCCGATCATTCCAGCTATGGAAAAAGTGCACGCTTGTCTTGTAGATGCAAAGGCAGTCCTTCGAAAGTGATCCATACCAGAACTATTGACGATTCCACATCCGGCCTGAAGTCTGGAGTCCACCGAGTGAATCTCATTTTGAAACCCCTAATGCTCCACACCTGCCTAAGCCAACACCTTTGGAAATCATCCTCCATAGTAAATTTAATCAGAACATGTCGTTAATCGAGGAGTCCCAAGGATACCGGCCCTTGAAACCCTATCTTATCAAACTCTTGTCTCAAGAGGATCATAGATGGTCTACCCCTAACGAAAGATCGGACTAATGCAAATTTATGTTGAGCAGCAAGAGTTGATACTTCTTCTTCTGAGAATTGCACCGCAGGCATTCCACGATGCCGATAGGGGGTTTTCAATGGTATTTCTTTATTCACAACCAACACATCCGCAAAAGAACGCTTTGCTGCCCCCGGCCCTCCTACCGGAGCGGCCCATGCAGACGTCGTCGCCATGAGCACCTCCGCCTAGGGTTCACCTGTGGACTGTGTCTATATATATACACAAATGTTCAGGTCCGGAATTCCGGACCAGAACCGCCGTCCGGCTGACGGCTGTTGGGGCCCTTCCCGGTGGCTTTTTTGATGAAATTTTTATGGCATGTTCTTCATCAAGTCTAGTTTATCCACAAAAATATTCAGCTAAAAACTCAATCCGGAAGGTCGTCACATGAATTTTGGAAGTTAAATGCATTTTATATGTATTTTTTTGCGCAGTTAACTTCAAAAAATCATTTGACAATCTTCCGGATTGAGTTTTTAGCTGATTTTTTTGTGGATAAACTAGACTTGATGGAGAACATGCCGTAAAAATTTCATCAAAAAAAGCCACCAGGAAGGGCCCCAAAAGCCGTCGGCCGGACGGCGGTTCCGGTCAGGAAGGCCTGACCGGAACACTACTCTCTCTCTCTCTCTCTCTCTCTATATATATATATATATATATATGTATATATATATATATATATATATATATATATATATATAGGGAGCGGATCAGGTGAGAAGTGCCCTTAGGCTGAGAACTGCGAAGCTAACTTATAGATTGAAAACAGAAACTTTTAACCAATAAATCATAACTTATAGACCCCTTGAAATAATTACGAACATGCCACTGCAAAAAAAATAATCTGGAGACCTTGGAAATTTTTGGACGCGGTGTCATTTTCGTAATTACAATGGAGAGCTTTATAAGTTATGATTTATTGGTTATAATTTCATATATTCAGTGTATAAATTTGCTGTGTTGCAAGATCACATGTAAATCCAAGGGTTGAGATTACTTCTCACTTCTCATTTTAAGGGACACTTCTCACCTGATCTTCTCTCTCTCTCTCTCTCTCTCTCTCTCTCTCTCTCTCTCTCTCTCTCTCTCTCTCTCTCTCTCTCTCTCTCTATATATATATATATATATATATATATATATATATATATATATATATATATATATATGAGGTGGTTCCCGGTGGTATTTTTTGCTGATTTTTTTTGTGTATGTTCCTCATGAAGTCTAGTTCATCTATATCAAATTTGAGCAAAAAATTCAACCGGGAAGGTAGTCAAATGATTTTTGGAAGTTAACTGCGCCGGAATATTCATATAAAACGCATTTAACTTCTAAAAATCATTTGACGATCTTCCTGATTGAATGTTTTGCTGAAATTTGGTATGGATGAATCAGTTTTAGCACGTTTCGGTTAGTTTTTAACCCAAAAGTATAAGCTATAAACTGAACCGCCAAGAGTTTGCCCTTCAGTTAGTTTTGATTTCATTCGATTCTATTTTTATCAGTTCGTTTTCACTCGGTTTGTCGATCATTTCATGTTTTTTGATTTTATTATTCACTTCTAACTACCATGTGAGTGACAATTTTATTCATTGTCACAATATTGACTATGCATTTAAGAATGTGATAATTTTTGCAACTATGATGCATTTTTCCCTTGAAAGGCAATGTGATAATGGTGTAAAATGATATTGGCAAGAGGTCCCCTGGAGCACCAACCAAAGCTTTGTCGATTGTTGCCGGAAGTCCGATAGCGCTCCTACAGGTTTGACGGCATTGTGGTAGATTTTTTTCCCAATTAGGGTTACTTTTCAATCAAGGGAAAAGGGGCACCCCTAGAGTTGTCACTAAAGCACATTTAAGCCCATACTTATTTTCTGTGCATAAATCTTTATATACTTCGTATATCACTAAACATGGGCAAATACCCCCTTAACTAACGGTGATGGACGGATAGATAACAACATTTGGTGAAATTTTGAAATAAGGAGCAAAAACACCCTAGAGTTGTCATGTAAGCACATTCAAGCCCATGAATTTTTTTGTGTGAGTAAATGCCTTGAATAAACATGCACAGAGGGTAAAATCCCACTTCCAAATGAAAAGCTTTTATGAACTGTTGATACAACAAATATTACTAAAAAAGTAACATCACGTATGTTCACCCAAAAATGACAGATACATTCATCCAAAAAATCAGCACACTTAATATCATTCCATTTCAGTGAAACCAGCACATGTGTTCACCCAAAAAAACAAAAAACACCTATATGTTATTATTTTAATGTAAATAAATCACTAGATAAGACTGCTATTAGAGTTGACCACAAATTTTGACACACCATCTGCAATCACTGTCTGAGATTCCATTCTAGGCTGCAAAAACAAACAGAGGCAGTAAACACAATGTTTAAGAATACCACACCCACAATACAAAAAATCATCACAAGTTTAAAGATTATGGTGGTAGAATAAATTGAACACTGTTCTTCCAGTTTTTTCATCCACAAAACAACCATATCCCATTGAGTCCACTGGTGTGAAAAAAACTAGATGTACTCAACAAATCAGATTACTTTAATACTAGTGGGTCAATTGGTTACAGATTTCTAATGACTAAATTCTTACGGCAGAATATATTATGAGTGTTTCTTTAGTTTTAGGTGATAAAGTTGTTAGTTTCTTTGTAAATCAGAATTTAGTAAGTCAATGAATACAATAAGGTCATTATAAGATGTTGTCACAGGTCAGATACCAAGTCTTATTTTCTGCATATTAAAACGGATTAGACTTAATAGTTCAGACAAAAGCTAGTTATATGACATACATAAATAAATAAATAAACTAGCTGGAGGCGTGGAGTTGAAAGAGTTCAAGATTGGTTTCTTCGAATAGAATAATAAATTGATACTCTAATTTTATATTTTTGTGTGAAACAGAAAATTCTAATAGCAGCTCTTATTTCATGGCATGGCATGGGTTTCTTTATACATGTTGGTCTATAGCAACTCTAAAATGATACCCATATTTATCATACCAGCTCCTATTTCAAGGTATCGGTTTCTTTATACATGTTAATTGATACCATTTGTGTTTTGGTATCGACTACGGTTTGAAACAATCCGTGATTCCAACTTTAAAGCATAAAATTCATCAATAAAGTCACCATGGAGTTTCTTTAAAAAAATTGTCTTGTAATAAAAATTGAGTGATTTGATAATCTCCAATAAAGCTGCAACTGGAGTATAATGCAGTAGCATCATCTTTGCATGACATGATTCAAAGAAAACAGGGTAAGATTGTTTTGAAGGAACAAAAGGTAAAGTGGAATTTCTATGATATGCTTCTTAATTAATTAGCTTTCTACAATTAATAACATTTGGTCCAAAAGGTGGAATCTCCCACCCCAGGAGACAGGATGGTGGGGAGTTGAGCAAAAAGACGGTAGGCCTTATACACGTGCCCAACAGAGGTACAACCTTATTTCATGTTCTGTAATCGGCTCCGCACGGTCGGTGCGGGTTTCGAACCTTGGTCACTTGGTTACACTAATAACATGTGTACTTTAAGGAGTATACAAAAAAATCTTACTCCCTCCGTTTCTGAAACAAGTTCCAACTTTCCTTTTCGGGCAGATTCAAAATTAAGTTCCACTTTCAAACATTTCCTTATTATCTACATCAAAACAGTGTCAAACAATGTCAAAACAGTGCCAAACAGTGTTCAAACAGTGCCAAACAGTGCACTCCACGGTAAAGTCAAATTTATTTTCTTAATACGTGTGAAGTCAAATGTGGAACTTGTTTTGGAATCGGAGGGAGTATGAGATTGTCGTTGAGTTGTACATCATTACAAAAAGAATTAAAAGTATACAGAGACTGCAATACCTTGTATAAGTAATGGAGAGAGAAGACGGCATCACCGGTAGAGTTAGTCGACAGAGGAGCTGAAGAAGAGAGCTTCACCGATGGAGTAATATTGATAGAGGAGGAGGAGGAACGAAACCCCATCGATTGAGTTTGTCCAATTGTCGACATGAGGAAGGCTGGTTCAGTAGATTTTAGAGAGGTGCAAGCAAAAATTGGTTCTGGAAGACAATTCCATCTCATTCAGATGAGGGTATCTAAGCTATCTCAGAATTTTGATTAGATGGCTACGGAGTCTGTTTATTCTTCGTTAGTCAAAATGTGCCTCATTTTTTTTCACGTGACAATTCATTTAAGTGATACCGTACTTAAATGAATTGTCTCATTTATCGCCACACATTAAGATGTGATATAAAAATAAGATACGTTTTGGGATACATTTAGCAAAACTCAAAGATTTATGCCCAAAAACTCTAGGGAGACGTTTATTTCGCTGTTAAAGTTATAGTCAGTTTAGTAAGATATGTGAAGTAAACACGCAAGTTGCTTAAAACGCTGCTTACTAATCGAAAGAGGTGCTTAAAGTGACGCTTACTAAGCATACCACCCCATGTACTTCCTCCGTTCTTAAATAAATGCAACGGTCAATATTTCACACTTGCCGAGACACAACTTTGACCATTAATATAAATGATTTTGTATTAGTACTAATTACGCAGCATTTTAAGCTTTTTCAGTTTCCGAATTTACCCTTACCTTTACCCCTTGCCCTTACCCTATTGCTACCCTACCTTAGCCCGACCCAAACCCCAACCCCCACCCACCCTGACCCCACACCCACCCTCACCCCCTTACCCTACCCTTTACCCCTACCACCTTCCCCTACCTTGACCCGACCCCACCCCACCCCTTCCTTACCCCGACCTTACTCCTTTACCCCTACCTCGACCCACCCCACCCTACCCCCACTTGTACCCCTTACCTTGACCCTCCCCTTTTACCCCTACCACCTGCCCCTACCTCGACCCCACGCCCCATTAGTACTCCTTACCTTTATCCTACCTCGACCCTACCCTTTTACCGCTTACCACATGTCCCTACTTCGACCCACCCCAATCCCGACCCCTCGCCCACCACCTTACCCAACCCTACCCTACCACCTCAGCCCCCTTACCCCTACCCCGACCCTACCCTCCACCACCTGCCCTACCCTCCACCACCTGCCCTACCCCACCCCACCCCTTACCCTACCCCTTTACCCCCTACTACCTTCCAATACCTTGACCAACCCTGACCCTACCCCCACCCCCTACCACTTATACCCCTTACCTCGACCCTACCCTTTTACCCCTATCACCTGCCCCTACCTCGACCCCACCCCCGACCCCACCCACTCCCATTACCATACCCCGACCCCTACTCCTTTACCCCATATCACCTGTCCCTTACCTCGACCCAACCCCTACGAGTAGGGTGGGGGTTGGTATGGGTGGGAGTTAGGGGTGGTGGAGGGTAGGGGTAGGGAAGGGGTGGGGGTCAAGGGTGTGGAATTGGAGGTAGGGTGAGGGGTGCGGGTACAGGGCGGGGTAGGGTTAGGGGTATGGGTAAGCGACTAAGCGTACGAGGTGACCCCGCATATTATATTATATACTTGTGTTCATGAATGTTTGTGTGTATATATCTATAGGGTTATTTTGGACATTTTAATGTTAAACGGTGTTTTAAATCCTCTGAAGTAAACATGAGCTTAATTACAACTCTGCTTATTTTATGCGCCGTTTATTAACGCGAGTCTTAATAAGCACCGTTTACTAACCCGTTAAGTAAACATGTCCTGGGGTTTTTTTTGTCCCTTTTCCCTTCAATCAATTAAGGGTACTTCCTTGTCATGCTTTAGTAGATTTTTTATATAAATAAAATATAAAAAAATTAAAACAAAAACAAATAAAAAATGTAAAAAATAAATAAAAGGTATACACGACTCAGTCACCGCCTCAACCACCTCCCAACACTGGCACCTCCGATCACCGATAAAAATACCAACCTGGGAAAAAAAGTCATTGCAATGATTTCTGAGAGAAAGATAATTCTTTTTTACGCAAAATGATATTTTTCTGCTGAAATTTATGAAGTTCTGGTTGAATTTGTTGAATTGACTGATTCTGCTGATTTATTAAAAATTATATTTAAAATATATTTTATAAATAAAATAAAGAAAAAGTTATATGTAAAAATAGCTAAAATGGTTCTCTACAGTAACTTCAGTCAATACAACAAAAAAAGTAACTTCAATCTTTCTTTTTTTTATTATTACGTAATTCAGTGCACGAAATAAAAAATTACACGTTTGATAAAAAAAGGGGAAAATTTTACGAATAGGACCTGACTTTCCCAAATTAAGATTACATCTTAACGTAAGACTTAACTGTACTTGCTTTGACCATAATGTCCTTACTTTTTAATTCCGTTAGCAGACCACGACTCAATGGAATCGGATTTCCTTTCAAACTGCCAGGCCTCACCGTCTAACAGAGAAAAACGCAGAAAGCTTAAATGGAAAAGACAAATGCAGGAAATTCAGACGAAGAATAGAAGGAAATTCCAACGAAGAACGGAAAGGAAATTCTGACGAAGAATGGAAGGAAATTCTGACGAAAAATGGAAGGAAATTCTGACGAAGAACGAAAGGAAATTTCGACGAAGAACGGAAGGAATTTCCGACGAAGAACTTCTAAGCAATAAATGGCAAAGAGAAAGAAAGGATCGAAGAAAATGCAGAGGAAGGAAACTCTGACAGTGATTTCGAAACAAAGATGCCAAAGTCAGTCCCAATAAAACGGAGAAGGAAAAGGAAATTATGCTTCAATCTATTCAATAATGACTTTGTTAGAGAAAAGTAAATATAAATTTTTCAATGGATTGATTCTCGGATATATTGTCTACAAAGCAAGAGAGATATAATGAAATATAAGGAGAGAAACTCGCTACACTCGATTTAATTTCCAATTACATAGTTGGAAACCAAAAAAAGTTAAATGCCCAGCAATCTACATCAACATGGTAGATAATCTGGAATTAGTGAATCGGTACCCTTGGAGAGATGAAATCTGGGAAGATTCATTGGATAAAATGTCCAGGTGGAGAGAATATTAAAAAGACAAAAAAGCATAGATTCACCTTTGCAGGTTTTACTTTTGCATTGTAAATATGGGCATATGAAAGTTTCTCATCTCTTAAAACGACACATGTTTGTAACTTAGAGGAAGAAAAAAATGTTCCCTAGATTGCTGAAGTGGTTTGCACCAAAGAAAACAAATGTTGCGATAAATGTTGAATAGATAAAATCGTTTTTAATGTTTGTATTGTATGTAATGTAAATTGTTGCTTTGTGATGTGCACTAACTTAGGGTATGCATATTTTCTCTTGTGTGCTGCAGTTTGAATATCAGAAAATGCAATCAAGTGAGGATGAGCTTAAAATTGCAATGCTAAACACATTATGCAAAAAGGTGAATGAGTCTGTCGTATCAAGCCATCTTACTTTGAAACCTGCGCCACCAAAACAGAGAACAAATGGTTGTGTTGATGGAAATAATCGAGAAGATGGTGAAGTCCATGAATGTGGGATTGGACATCAACAAAAGTCGTTTAAAGCTGCATACTTTGATTGCCCTGACTAACAAGATGTTGGCATGAAGGAACAAAATGCCAAGTGTGCAATTTTAAGTGGACTACGGAGATTAAATAGTTTGCCTAAGAGAAAGAAAACTTGTTGAAAACCAAAGCAAAAATACATTAATCGTGCTTAACACAAAGGATACAATCATGCTCCAATCCAAGAAGATGCAAAAGTTTGATAGAAGGATGAAAACAATAGATGATGGGATGGTTAAACTTCTAAATTGGCAAAAGGAGCAGACAGAGATGTTGAAAGCATGAATATGATATGTACCAAGCTTGCTTAATATGATATATTGAGATGTACCACAAATCCAATAGCTTGACTAAAATGCTTTGTAATAATTATGTTTCTCGATATGAAAAACTTGTAAAACTTGTTTCGTTTGGTCGTTAAGACTTCTTCCCTAATAAATCTATAAATCAGTTGTTGCTTATATTAATAAACTTCTATTGTATTCAAAAGGGAGTTCCTACTTGAATTTCTTGGTCAAAAGTAATAATTATTCAGAAATGTTTGTCTGAGTTAGACATTAATTATACAATAAAAGACAACAACTAGACAGTAAGAAGACAATAAACATATATAGTCATAGGTTATATTTAGAAATCGAATGCAATCTTGATCAAATATTTCACTTTGTTTTTGAAATGGCTATTATTTATTAAACTTGAGTACAAACAAGAAAATAACATTATCTCCAAACCATTACAACTAACATAAGCTCCATTCCCAACAAACCATGATAATTAAAATTTGTGAGCAAAACTAAAGGTCTTACAACATTTATTAGATTAAATGAAATGAAAGCGACAAGACATTATGAACTTAAGAGCTATGAATTGGAATATGATTCCTACAATGCTTCTTATCGTGCCCGTCTTTCTTACAACTTGAACACTGTTGCCGCTGTCAAGAAGCAAAGCCTCTAGCTGAAGGTAAAACACACTTCTTTTATGACTGCAGAATTGGCGTGTGAGGCATGTAGGTGGATTGCACGTTGTGGACTGCATATAGTCAACAAGCCCTGATTCAAAGCGAGAACCAATATTGGAGATGCAATCATAATACAGTAGTCCTTGACGTTAACCCACATTAGCAACACCATGAACACATATGAACTACTCCAGTTGAAACTAACAACATGATCAAGCCTTTTCTTTGAGATTAACAATAAAACTTCTAGATGTTTTGTCCAGCATCTGAAACTCAAACTGAGTAGCATGCTTAACCTAAAATAACATACACAACATTAAGAGTAAGTACAAAGTGAATGTAGTGTTGAACTAATAGAATAAAATGTTATTTAGAACATACACTTTAATTTTCTATATGCATTTTCATTTAGTGTTTGATGATATCAACTATATATTTATTGTAGCTTCATGGTGGGGGGGGGGGGGGGGGCTTCTCGGACATTAAGAGAGCATGTATGACCAAAAGCAAACTTGGAAAACAACTGATAATAGATAGACAGTAAGTAGTCAATAAACAGACAATAAATTCCAATTATAGTACAATAGCAGACCAGGTAAAATAAACACAATATCTACCATTCATTATTTCCAATGATGAAATTACCGTGAGTGGCTGTCTAGAAACTCCGGGATGAGAAGTCGTAGGCCATTGTTGATCAAAAGGTCAACTGATAGAACAATGAGTATTACAACCCGAGCTAGGGCGTGCAGATCAACGGTGAACTCCCATCGTGTGATTGTCAGTGGCCATTTATGGTGCCCGCGGAAAGCTGGAAGGCTTCTATTTGGTTTTCGAAAATCAGAGTGTCGTTGGAGCCGTAGGTGTTGATTCTGCAATGGTAGAATCCGAATCGAAGATCTGACGGAATGTAGCCGATGTATCTGACCGATTTCAAGCTTCCCTATCCAGCGAGCAACATTTTAGTACTGGTGAGGCGGGAGAGACGTAAACGGGAGTTGGGGAAGTCACTCTGTATTTTTAATTTTCAGATGGAGTACTCAAGTCAAAGGTAAAAATGGAAAGTAAAAATATGATTTCTTAAAACAGAACCAAATAAGTCACACGCATAGAAAAACATAACTAAGTTCTACTTTTGTAAAGTTGCTATCATTTAATCTTACGGGAAGTAATTTTCTCTAAAAAAAAGTTGGTCAATAATAATCTTGATAAAGAAGAATAAGTGGCATACCAAAGGGGATCTAAGGCTATTAGCCGAAGTTACATATGCTGGTATGACCAGTACGAATAAGAGAAAGAAAAACCCTGTCTTGTACTTCGTATATGAGCAAGTGTGCAATTTTAGCATCACTCTTTCCGCCCTCCCATCTTATCTCCTCCAAGGCAACCACTTCGTTCTCTCTTCACTTCTCCAGCTGCAATGGTTGGCAAAAGGAGAACGGAGACCGAGGTGGGGGTAAAAAATGAACTGCCTGTACAAGCTGAATTCAATGAAGAAGAAGAAGAACAAGAAGCAGAAGAAGAAGAAGAAAGGGAAGAAAAGAAGCATTCTTACAATTCAGATTCCGATTCCGATTATGAAATGCCATACATTCGACCTGGAGAGTACGACCCCAATGAAGTGAGCGAAAATCCAGAGGATAATATCAGGGATTTCTTGCGTGTTATCTATTCAGACCGGGCACTGAGAAAGGAGGAGGAAAAACAGAGAACTCGCGTTCCGTATGAGGAACTCTTCAACTTCCCGAAAGATCCAGAGAAGTGGACGGAGAAGGATTTGAAGGAGTTGTGGGCGGACCCTCCGACTGGAGCAAACAAAACCGGCTGGGACCCGAATTGGGCTGACAGGGAGGATACTAACGCTGTGAGAAATGATGTTAAGGCGGGTCGGGACCCGCCCATTGGCCCGTTTTACATTCCTTACAGGAAGCCATACCCAGCCATACCAAATAATAATCACGACATCTCCAATCCGAAGGCTGTGATTGAAGAGCTCGATAGAAGAGAGGAGTTCATGAGATGGGTCAGCTACATTTTCAAAGATGGTAGCTCGTAAGTGTTTTTCCTGCATTGAGTGCTCATTTTTATGGATGTTTCAAATTTGCTTGGTGTAGCAGTTCATTTCGTTTGAACAGTATAGAAGTGTTAACATAGCTACAAATATTGATATTAGCTCTACTAGAGCAAATTATTCGGTACATCCAGGTTTAAAAGAGGCTACTTTTAGTATGATCATGTTGGTGGTCAGTCTTCTTATATCTTGCCCATTTGTCTTCTAGGGGGCCATTTGTACTCATGGTTCCTCAATTTTCTCCAAAGTATGTTCATCTCATCTGTATCCATCACATACATCTGATTCGAATGTGATTACCTTTGTCTGAAAATACATATATGTCCTTCAGTGAAATTGTTGCTGTTTTGAGTAATACTACGCAGGATTTAAATAAATTAAAGCAATTAAAGAGCCACAGGGATAATAAGTTAAAGTTAATGAATACTTGACAACCTTGAAACACTTGAAATTTGCTCTCTTACACTCCAATTAGGCATGCAGGAAAAGATTTAACACATCAGTTACTGAATTTAATTGCTTAGCAATGCTGGTAATTTCCCTGAGTTAAATGTTTATACCTTCAAATCATCAGTCAGACTAAACAGTCTATTGGAGAACTTAAAGGTTATCTGTATTTTGGTATAAGGTTATGACTTTATTCATTAATGACTGTACTCCCTCCTTCCCACTATCTTTGTCCCAATATTTTTTTCATCCGTCCCACTAAATTTGTCTCGTACCATATTTGTTAATATTTGTGTGGTTGTAATTTATTCTCGCTTTATAAATAATTTACAAATTTAACACCAAGTCATCAACCACATAATTTCTTAATACATAGATGTCCTTCAGTGAAATTTTATGGTGAGACCTAATTGATAGTTGATCGGTTTGCCATATAGATTTTATCCTTGAGAGTGCTAATTTTCTGCATCTACTAATCTTTATGGAAATAAACTAGAAATATGAAATTTTCTGTTCTTCTACTCTCCTCTCTTTGGTCCATTTACATACCACACTTAAATTTGTTAGGACAATGCATCCAACCCCCCCCCCCCCCCCCCCCCCCCCCCGGATCTCGATGCTTTGTCATAACTTCTCTAAAACTGAGGGTTGCTTTATATGTCTAGTAACTAGTAAGCAAAATTATCGTTGTCCAATGTCATGGTTGGTGATCATACTATTAATGAAGGCATGTTTGGTTTACTTTGGAATTCTATTATCAATATGCTACCAAAAAAGTGCACTTGTTCTGCTATGTTGTGCTTACACTGCAAAGATACGGGGTAGTTTGGGAAACATTTAGTCAAAGAACATTGTGTTTGTAAAATATTTAGACTCTTTATATTTATTTCTTCCAAGGTATGAAGGCACTGTTTGGGATGACAAGGCACATGGAAAAGGTGTTTTTGTTGGTGAGAATGGGCTGGTCAGGTTTGTCTAATATATCTGTATCGCTTTCCAGATATAAATGTATATATTAGTGTTCCGAGTATTAAGAATCGTGGTCAGGGTTGTCTTGTCATTGTTGATTTGCATATATAGGTATGAAGGTGAATGGCTTCATAATGAAATGGAAGGACATGGGGTTGTTGAAGTAGAAATTCCACACATGCAACCCGTTCCTGGATCCAAGTATGTTATTTATCTTATTTACACCAACTCATTCATACGGTGGACAGTTGGCAGGGTTAAATTCTCTTTCTTTTGAATGTAGCTGCTTAATTTGTTTATCAGGCTAGAAAAGAAGATGCGAGCTCAAGGGAGAACAATAACGAGAGATTCCATGAGTCCAGAAGACAGAGAATGGCTTGAAATGGATATTGAAGATAGTATTGAATCGGCTGGGGGATATTATCAAACCCCTTTTTATGAGAGAAGGGAGTGGATAAGGCACTTCGGACAGAAACCGTAAGTTTTTATATGTAAAAAATAGGGAAAAGTTACAAATATACCCCGGTCGTATGGTGTGAGAACAAAGATACCCTTGTTCTATTTTGTGGAACAAATATACCTCTGATGTTTATGTGGAGGTGCATTTATACCCCTGAACTATTAAAAGGTGCAAAAATACCCCCTAATGTTCCTATAGAGGAATAAATTTACTGTTATTGACTTTAAATAAATAAAATAAATTTTAAAAAAACATTAAAAATAAATTATAAATTCAAAATTGAAAAATAAAAAATTAAAGAGTTAAAAATAAAGATTTATTTTTATATTAAAATATTAATCTTTCATTTTAAATCGCAAAATTATTAGTTTTGCATGTAAATAAGGCACTTCATATTCATAAATAAATAATTTTAGACTTCTTGCGAAATTTTGAACACATTGTTTCATTTTTTGAAATAACATTCTTTAATTTTGTTTAACCTTAATAAAATTAAATTCACTATTTTGTATTATTGGACTATTTATCATCATACAAATAATGTAATTATATAGTGCAAAGAATACAAAAACTTAATGATTTTTTTACATTGCATCACATATGTTAACACTTTTCCTAAAAAATCTTAAATATATAGTAAAGTTTTGAAATAATATTTTATACTAACAATATTAAATTGTGATATAAAATAATAAAAGGGAGAATTGGACACAAGTAGATTTTGCTTTTCAATTTCAAATTTAAAATTTATCTTTGGTGTTTTTTGAAATTAATGTTATCTATTTAAAGTCAATAAGGGTATATTTGCTCCTTTATAGGAACATGAGGGATATTTTTGCACATTTTAAATGTTCAGGGGTATATATGCACTTCCATATAAACTTGTGGGGTATATTTGTTCCAAATAATAGAATAGGGATATATTTGTTCCCACACCCATACTAGAAGGGTATATATGTACTTTTTCCCATAAAAAGTATGAACTTCCTCTGGTTCTAAAAAGAGAGCCATGTTTTAAACATTCTTTTGTCTTAAAACAAAGAATCATAGGCAAATAATTAAAACAAATATGCAACAAAGATGATTTTTCCATAATAGGACCCCTCTTCGATAAAACAAAGCTAATTTTTCATATAATTTTCCAATAAAAGAGTCAGGCAAGTCAGAGATGATAAGTTTTGGTCAACCATGAAAGAAGCATTAAAATCATAAGTAGGAATGATGATTTAGAAGTTGTTCCTTACCAATAAAAACAAAAATTGTACCATGGCCAAACAGATTTTTTCACCCGCACGGATATAGCATGTCTTTAGAGCTAACTAGGTTCTTATCCAGTTATCCCTTACTAATTCCGGTTCTTAAAAAGTTCAGTGCTCGTAAACTTGTAAAAGCCTCTTTTCAAAAGTTAGCAAGGCCTCTTGTTATTTATGTCTTGATTATGCTCAAGTGTAATTCATAATCTTATGATGGTTACTTTTTAGCAGTGCACTGGTTTTTACATGCACTTTTGATTTTTCATTCTCATGCTAAGCTGAAGATATGTTGACAATTTTGATTTTTTTTTTTTGTAATTTAGTTTGTTGCCTGTATATATTGTAATTAGGCTTTTGTGGTATATGAGGAATGAAAAGGGAGATATTTTTTTCCATGGTACCTTAGGTTTTATGATGTATACATGTTTGTATGGAAATGCTAGCTGTTGCAAACACGTGTGAAAGTACAAGACATGCTTGTATCTAAATATCCATCACCAATTTGTTCTCTTATTTAAATTACAGAGAGACGGGCCAATATAAATATGCTGGTCAGTGGAAGCATGGTAGAATGCATGGTTGTGGTGTATATAAGGTCAACGAGCGAAAAATATATGTAAGTACTTCATATGTAAAGCTTATTTATATGTAGGGGAATTGTGACTTTGCACCCTATTTTGGGTGAAATTTGTCTTCACACCCCATTCCGAAGAAAGTAAATATGTGCACCCCATTTTTAGAAAAGTAAATGTGTGCACCCCATGAAAAAAATTAATTTTTGCAATTCCTTAACAAATTTTTGAACTGATTAGGTGCAAAGTCTAGTTTCTCCCAAAATGGGGTGCGAAGTTCAATCCTCCCTTTTTATGTATCAACATGAATTCACTCTACTTTTTTCTAGAATCTAGACTTGATGAGTCACCATTTTTTATATTGTTGATGAAAATATAGGTAACCCATTATGTATAGCTTTCTCTGAGTTAAAGTTAGGTAATAGAAAAGGAAAAGTTTCATAATCGGGGGTGTTTGAGCAAAGGCATGGAATGGAGGTGAGTTAAGATTAAGAAATGATATATTTATGTTCTGGTTAAAAAAGCCTATAAGGCCTTACAACCCTTTTGTTTACTTGTGACAAAACAAAATGAAGGAAATAGATTCCTGTAGTGCAAATCTTCTATTTATTCAACGGGTGGCCAAGTGAAGGCTCTTGTGATGACACCATGAGGATGGGGCTTTGTTTCCTACAACCCTAGTTAGTTAAATACGGTAGAGGAATTAAACGAGGTTTAATACGTACGCGTTTTATTCGGTAATATGAATGAAAAAACAGTCAAAAATTCGTCGATAAAAACGTTGACTTTTAAAAACGTGTAAATGTGTATATGTGTATAATACGGTATTTGTTACCAAAATTCGGACTAAAAATACGGGGTATTATTTTGAACATATAAATTATATACTTCACAAAGTAACATGTATTGCAAAAAGAAACAATAATATACACATATTCAAGTAGCAAATCTCATTACTACATAAAAAGAATAGTTTATAATTGCATAAGTCGATGACAAACATAAAAATAGTAATTAAGTCCAAGACATAATCTTGCTAACTAATGTCAACAAATAAGGCATAATAACAATAGAATGAGACTAAGTTAAAATCATTATCTTTTTATGATCATCAAATAACACTCAAGTTAAACTCATCAATTTCATCAAGATGACAGGTGACATATGAGAAAAGTTGTGCGACTGTTACACCTGTTACACCTATTATTGTTTATGTGTAAAATTTTATGCTAAAAGGTGTCTGGGTTAATTATAAAAACTTTAATTTTGATATGCTTGTTTTGAAAAACATCAGAAATCTAGCAGTATTTTAAGTTTTAGTCTTTAGTAGGCTAGATTTAGCTGTCATTCAATTAATTGTACATAGTAGTATTTAATAATTGTATTGTAACAATACAAAAACACGGGGTCACAAGGAGGAGTTTTTTCTTTTTCTTTTTTGCTTTTAAACTATTGTTGATCTTCTATGCATTTAATGCATCCATTCAGTTGATCAATTCATGTTTCTATTTTTTGAAAAAGACGGGAAACATACGTTTTAAACGGAAAGTAGGAGGTTTTTTCCTTTTTAAACCAACCGACATTATTTTTCGTTTAAACGTGTTTTTTTACTCAAAAAAACGGTACGTGTTTAAAACGCGTTTAAAACACAAAAAAAGCTAACTAGGCCTACAACAACAACATGCGAGCCTTAGTCCCAAAGAATTTGGAAAAATCAATATATGAAACTAGAGTTAAAATGGTGAAAAAAGAGAAAAGGATAATACAACAACAACAACATTACCCATTGCCGCAAAAGCTCCCACCAACGGTGGGATAAAGGGGGTCGGATACTCGGATGTACGTAACCTTACATCTGTACCAAAGCACAGAGAGATTGTTTCTGGATGACCCATGAGAAAAGGATAATATAAGATAAAAATATAAAAAAGATAAGATAAAAGTAAGATAAAGATACGATTAGATAAAATAAAAAGATAGAGAAGTTAAGAAAGATAAAAAAGATAAAAAAGAAAAAATGAGACAAAAAAGAAGAAAAAGATGAAAATGACATAAATTCTCCACACATGTATTCTTCTTCCATTTCACTCTCTCCAAAGTCATACTTTGATCCAGCCCATGACCCATCTAATCCACAGTTATTTTAGTCTTATGCTCCCTCTCCTTTCTGCCTCTTCTCCTAACCTCCCACTTGGTGTATTACTTGGTGTTCTACGCACATGTCCAAACCACTGCAGGCGAGACGCTCGTTGTCTCGCATCTTATCTTCATTAAGTGTTACTCCCAATTTTTATTTGATTGTCTCATTTCTCAAGTGGTCTTTTCTAGTGTGTCCACATATCTAACACAACATATGCAGCTCTACCACATTCATCGGTCTTTTCTGGTATGTCCGCACATTCGACGCAACAAACACATTTCAGCAACACCCATCTTTTGAATGTGACAATGTTTCATGTGTTACTGTCCAACATTCTACGCCATAAAACTTACTTTTCAATAGTTCAGTCTATTTGCCTTACCTCGATCATCAAAGAAAACCTAACACACTCTTCCATTTTATCCACCCTGTTCTGATTCTATGGGATACATCCATGGTAGTTAAACTAAGGATCGTAATTCAGTTCGTAAGATCCTACAAAATATATACTTACATATATATATGTGTGTGTGTGCGTGTATGTATATACGTATGTACTCCCTCCGGTTCCAAAAGATCTTGACACTTTGACTTCACAGTTTTTAAGGAAATAAATTTGACTTTACTGTAGAGTACACTGGTTGGCACTGTTTGACACTGTTTTGTGTAGATTTATTTGTCAAATAAGGCAAATAAGGAAGTGTAAAGATCTTTCTGGTACTGCTAAAAATGGAAAGTGTAAAGATCTTTCAGAACCAAAGGGAGTTAGAAACTAAATATAATTGATAAGTAATAAGCATTGTGAGTTGTTTAGAACATAATATTAGTATCAAATATTTCATGTACTTAAGAGTTTAAACAAATGGAGTTCTAACTCCTAATTACAAAATTAAACAGCTGACTTATAATCATCCAAGTTAAAATCATAATCTTTCTAAGAATCTTCATCTTCTCCTCCTCGTCATCCATCATCCAAATCACACACGTCCAAATCAACATATGATGTATCTCGATCCTATCCAACTGAGGGTGAACCATCTTCATTTGCAAGAAACAATCGGATTAAACAATTTCTTCTCTTTGTATGAACCTAATATCTAAAGGATTAAAGAAATAAATAAATATTTATTATATAAGTATTTATTTGAAAACTATTATAATGCATACCATCTCGGCGTTCACATCCATAAGAACATGTCAAACTTAGCATTTGAATGGCAAACTTTTGAAGCTCGAGATACTCATCTCCATACAACTCCCACCAATCCGGTGGACTCTCCTTATCAAGTGTCTTCCTAGCCAAAGAAATACCAATCGGATTTGCTCGTTTCTTAAAATCATCACGGAGGACATCAATATTTGCTAGTTCATCAACAACAGACACCATATGTGTGATGCAATCATACAGACTCTTTTTAACTTCAACGTTAGCTTTAAAATTGGGACTATAATGCATCTGAGGGTTAAGAAAGTAGCCATCAACATGTAAAGGCGTATACAATCTCCTATCCCATCTTTCATCAATAACGTCCAACAAAAACAAGTAACTAAATAATACTCACTCCGTCCCATTTTACCTGTCTTACTTTCCTTTTGGGGTTGTCCCAAAATAAGTGTCACCTTTCCCTTTTTGGAAAGAAATGTGTGGTTCACAACATTTCACTTTACTATATTCAAATCTCAACCACAACTTTTACCTTTTCATTCACTTTATTAAAAATTATGCCAAAACCAAAGGAGACACATAAAATGGGACCGAGGTAGTAATGATAATTAAATCAATTAGCTTTCTTTTTTTGGTAAAGATCAATTAGCTCTCTTTGATACAAAAAATTAGATAAATATTACTCTCTCCGTCCCGTATTTAACTTTACACTTTGACTTCACGGTTTTTAGGTGGAAAAATATTTGAAGTTGACTTTCCTTTTATACCCTTGGTTGCAAAAGTAAAAATTTAAAGAGGGTAAGAAAAAGTAAAAAGAGAGAGGAGAGAGGTCTACTTTATTAGCTGACAAATCAGTCCCATTCGTACACGAGGAAAGAGGGTATTTGGTACCCCTCTTAACAAAACAAAGCAGTTTCGTACAAATGAAAGAGGAAAGGGCTGCAAATTTCAGTTCCCTCCAATACTAAAAATAGAAAACTTTGCCACCTAAAATATCCTGAACACTATATATACCCCTCATTTACTCCCCCAACTACACATCATTTACTCCCAAACAAAAAATGGAAAGTAGGGCGGGTGACTTTTCTTCGTTTTCTTCTGATATTCCTGCACTTCCTTCGGAATCTGCCTCATCTGCTCCTTTACCATATTGTGCGCCCTTTGATCTTAACAACGAAGTTGTGAAAGAGGACATCTGGAAGAAGAAAGTACAACGGCAGAAAGTGACACACATAACAGCCAAAGTCTACCAAAACACGGGTCAAAGCTATCAACTGAAATGCGAAGCAGAATAATAGAGATATTGTTAGCAAAGTCAACGGATGGAAAGCTTCAGAGGGGCATGATAGAAATGTAGCGAATGAGTTCAACACCTCAAGACAAACCGTACGCACACTCTGGGTGAAGCAACTGCACAAATGCAGGTTGGGGCAGCCATAGATGTGCAGAGCAAATGGATAGGTAATGTAGGACAAAAAAGAGTTGCATTTGACTTGCAAAAAATGTCACCGATCCCATATCATAAAAGGAAAAATATGAGGTCTTTGGCATATTTAATGGAAGTGTCAAAGTCTACTGTGCAGAGGTGGTTCAAGACTAAACAAATTAAACATAATTCTAATGTGATTAAACCTCTTCTGACCGATAAAGGAATGCTCAAAAGGTTAGAGTTTTGCCTAAGCCATATTGTAACACCCCGCCCTACAAGGCCCGAGGTAGTTACTCGCAAGTACTCTCAA